CAATGGATTACTCATAATATTTCATTAAATATAGCTGTGTTATTTTCCTCTGGTTTTGCCTCTGTTGCTGTGTTAAAATCATATCTACCGTAGATAAAGTCTCTTAGGAGAAACTGCTCTGTATCAACACTTTGAGGTGGGTATACTCTGGCATATATCTGTCTCATAATCCCTCTCCCTCTGTGCTTGCTACCATACGACAATACTAAGCCCACCCAACAATGCTGGAGGATTAGCTCTCTGCCCTTTTCTTTGTGCTCGTGCTGGAGCTTTGGAGGAGCACAGAGAAAAAGGAGGGCAGAGGAAGAGAAAAGGCAAATGGTGGGAGCACCACTGTGGAGACGGAGCGTGGGGTTCGGGTGAGAAAAGGTGCATGAAATGAGGGAAAGAGACAAAACGGTGTTGGACAGACGACTGGTGATCTGGCTGATTGCATGTGTGTCTACATTGTGCAGAATCCCTGGGAGACACAAGACAGAGGAGACGATTCAGAGCTGACGATGACACCAGACTGTAAAGAGGCTCTGGTGAGTCGGAGACAGCGTACAGTCAGAGGTAGCAGCTGTGTGTGCACGTGTGTGTGGGGCTGTCTAGTTGTATGCATGATGTGTGAGGTGGGATGTTGTGTACATAGACAAAAGTGTGTGTGCTTGTGCGTGTGTGTGTGTGTGTGTGTGTGTGTGTGTGTGTGTGTGTGTGTGTGTGGAGATATGAATAATGCAGAGGATGCCTGTAGGAGCGTGAGGGCCAGGAGGAGGGCAGATGGTCGCCTGCTGATAGGACAGAATCCAGGCAATAGGGTCCTCCAGAGAGCTGTGTTTAGGCCTGACTTAACATGCAAACACACACACACACACACACACTCACACACACACTCACACACACACACGTTCATTCTTTTGGCCCTAAAACGCCACACACTGGCGCATATTTCAAAATAAAAGCTGAGATGAGACTATAAAAATATTTCATTCACACTTTCTGATAAAAATCTCAATTATTCATTAATTTTAAATAAATGCATTAATGTGAATTAATCAGGATAAGGCAGACACAGATAAGGATCATAATTTCTAAGAGGGGCTGTAGCCAGGATTTTAGGAACACTGAGGTCATAAATCAGGGTTCACCAACACCAATTATTAACCCCTTCAAAATAAAGCTCTTTTTAATTAATTGGACCTTTGTTCGACATGTTGTCAATTACATGTGCATGTTTTTGCAAGCTTTCTTTACATGGCATAGTCATGCCCCCAAAAAACCCTAACAATATGACAGCAGCTTGTTAATTCTACACAACTGTAGCTAAACTCTTTTTCCTATCAAAGAATTTATCTTTGAAATGTTCCCTCAGTGACGCATCATTCTGTCCAGAAAACCTCTAAGGAAATTACTTTAAATTTTGGACCTGAAAAGTGAAGTGTTTCATAAGGCTAAACCAACATGAGAAAATGTGTCTGGTGAAATAAATACAGGATCTTGGTGGAATTATATTGTTCTAAAATACAAGAATCAGAATGAATCGGAATTAAATTCTGCTCTGGTAGATACACTCTTTAAACCCTGGAAATAGCACTGAGACAGTTACACAATTATTATTTAGAAAGAAGCATGATAAATAAATAAAATAAATATATAAATCCATCCCTGCATGAACAGTCACTGTCAATGAAGTAATCATCCTACATTCATCTCCAAGCCTTTACCCACCACTACTACTACTAACATCCACAAGATGGCATCAGCACACTAATTCCTGAGATGGCCAATGATCCACTCAAGCTTATAATAATAATAAGAATTAAACATGAGGTGAAGAAAAACATAAGGAAACAAAGATATGATAAAAAAAAAATTAAG